GACATCACACAAGCGATAAACACCCGATGACACAAAGTGCCACCATGTGGATGAAGATCACCCGTGGAGAGGTTCCGGAAAACCGCGTTCAGCCTTACACTATATTTATGGTCGGGCTATATTGCAGCCCATGTTAAGAACCAGGGTGGGGCTTCAAAATAAAGAAAAACTGCATCTCACAAGGAGATGTAGATATAACAGCCTTTCCATCCTGAGCTGATGGTTGTTATGACTGACTGACTGACTTTCTACCCCACCAGGACATCACACAAGCGATAAACACCCGATGACACATAGCGCAACCATGCGGATGAGGATCGCCGTGGAGAGGTCCAAGAAACCGCGTTCAGACAATTTTCCATATTTATGGCCTGCCTATATTGCGGCCCCTGGCAAAAGCCAGGGTGGGGCTTCAAATAACAAAAAAAATGTCGTCCTAAAAAAGACGAAACAGGATAGATAATGGTTTTTATGAATAAGATCGTCATCGGGAGTGAAACATTTTGCAAATTGGCTGCAGGTATGTTAAATACATGTCACCTACAATGAATGAAAGTAAAGTAAAGGACTCTTTTCCACGCCTTTAGGCGTATAGGACATACAGGGATAGACCTATATTTTATAGACCAATTGGCACAAGATGGGTGATGTGGTCAGCATCACGCCGGCGGCGTTTACTTTTCCGGACTGCACCCGGTACCCACTTAAGGCTGGGTCGACCTGGGAGCCAAAGTCCTTTTTGAAAAAGTTCGGCTCCGCCAGGAAGCGAACCCACGACATTCTGATCCGCGGTGAGCGACTCCCTAAAATAAATAAATCACTTTCCAAAAGAAAATTTTTTTTTTATGGTGGTAACTAAGGAAGGTCTCAAGGGAAACGACTGAGGAAAAGACAAGTATTTGATGAAGAAACGTGGTATAGTTTGCAAAATGCTTGAGTTGTTGGACAATACCAACGTGCTAAAAAACAAAACAGAAAACATCGAACGAAACGATGCCAAGTATTGTCATTTAAAAAAAAAAATACATTGCGTAGAGGTGGTTGAATTTGTTGAGCTGTTGTCTTCCTATACATCTACTTTCTTAATGACAGCCAAAAGACTACGGCAAGGCGTACACCTGTATTTCCTTCTTTAAACTATATAACTAAAATAGTACTACGTTTTTTTTTCGACATTTTTTGTTATTTGAAGCACCACCCTGGCTTTTTCCAGGGGCTGCAATATAGGCAGACCATAAATATGGCCAATTGTCATCTAACTAAACAGACAGCTGGACAAATGGACGAACAAACAGACTGTATTTAAACAAAATCAAGACCTTTTCTGTGTTTAAAAGAAAACTGTAGTTATATCTTCATGTTAAATATTTAAACAAATAACCATCTAGACGTTTATATTAAATTGTTTACCACCTTAACTTTTTAATTTGTTAAAAATTGTATAAACGTTAAAGCATGACACACTTTTTTAAAACTTTCTTTAGTTGTTTTTTATAATGATAGTGAACATTTCTAACATTACGCAATAATATGAGATGTAATACATCTGAGTCAACCTTATAAACATTACCTAAAACATTGTAATTTACTTTAGTATATCTTAGACAAACATTACATGCTGAATAAAACACTACAACCCCTCATTACTTATTTAAAATTTTACTCACTCCCCCTACCCCTACTTCTCCCCCCAAGTAACAACCCGAAATGCCATTTCAACTTTTACAACAACAACGAAAAAAAAAAGCAGCAACAACAACAACAACAACAACAACAACAAAACATCAGTTACAGATATGAGGCGATGCTGTCTAAGCCAACTTCACTGCAAACCCCGCCAACTTCCATGAAACTCGCGCCAACTTCCTGGAGCATTCACGAGTCCCCGTGTAAGCAACCATTGTTATATAAAATTTCTTACCGTGAGGGAGCACATTTAACCTATTTGCATTTTTTTTAAAAATTCCAACCCCATCGATCACCCTCAGTTAACAAGCCAACGCCAGCCCCATTTGCAGTAATTTCATTTTTTTCTGTAAATGAAAAGTCATAGCCCTACATATTTTGACTACTCCTAAACCCTCTAATACAGCAAAGATGACATGACAAAATCTTGGAACATCTGTCAGCTTATCTGGACCTGCGCAAGCACATCGAAAATTTCTCTGGAACCTTCTTGAAATTTGTAGCAGATTCCGAGTCTTATCCCCACCCCTTCACCCCCTACCCTTTTTGGATAAATATAGCCTTCACCAATATCGTTTCGTTTCTATCCCTTATCCTATATTAGAAGAACCTCAGTGAAGTATCCTTAAAGGATAAAAATGATCACATTCTATATTGTTTATATTTTTCCCTGATAAAATTTTCTTAGCTTCTTTAGACCTAAACATACATTTTTAAGATTGCAATTTTCTGGGATAAAAGTGGTAAATGAGTACCTTCCAGTGACTGGAAAAGTTCAGAGATGAAAGAAGAGGAAGAACATGTAGACACTTACCACACTTCTTAATCTCAAAGTAGTGTTGTGCACATATGTGTACGCATGAGCTTTTCCAATGCATTCTGAAGGACGCGAAGTGGGACCCTTTACTCCTTGCTGTGCCAATGTTTCCATTTGTGTATCATCCGCCGCGCAAGACATTGCCACAACCATGTTGAAACGTAGCGAGTACATGCAGACGAATCCCAGACATGATACCAGAGACAGAACCAGACGGCAGGACCAAAACAAAGGCGATCTTGCTTTTGCAGAAAAATTTAAACAGTATTTTTTAGTTAAACAGAAGTTAAAAAGAGAATGGCAATTGTAATGTAATGATTTTTAAAACAAAATTAGTTGTGTATTCTTTATAGGATGTTACCGAACCAACTTTAGGATTTTTCGGCTGCTGCGGATTTTCTAGGCAAATGTTACGTTTAGTAGTTTGCCATTGCTACTAAACGGCCACCCCTAGGTACCACTGCCAATAACCAACACAAGATTGTCTGCTGCCAAATTTTCTGCAGCTTCGATGGAACCCGGAAAGCCGGCTTCCGCATATGCAACCGACGACGACATTTAAGTAAACAGCATTAAAATTGCACGTCTAATTTCACCAAGAAAATAACAATCATTATTCTGTGATCTTTCCTGTAGAAACCTACGGATGAGTCCAGAACTAACGCGCAATTAATAAGGAAGATAATAAAATAGTATTACCCAAAATTGAAAAGTTGAATTAAAAAGGAACAATTATTTTAAAAAGGTAAATCTGAAACATTAACTAAACAAATTAACGAAGCTTGTGTTGTTAAAAATCTAAAACGTTTAAAAAATATTTTAAAGAACGTTTGCAAATGTTTAAATTTTCAGTATTTGAACTTAAATACTTTTTCTCTTTTATTTCCCTAGGAAATTCTATAGTACCATTTTGATAATAATAAAATCTTGTTAGATGTGGATTTTACCTCAAGATCTCAACAGCAAGCAATAGTTTAGTCATTAACCTTCCACCCTGGGGCTGCGTGGTCTCAAGGCATGGTGTTCGCTTCCAGTGCTAGAGGTTCCGGGTTCAATTCCATGCAGGGGCTGGGATTTTTTCAAGTGGACTTGGGCTTCTAGCAATTCCTCCTAGTCTTTGGGTATTTAGATCGGACGCCCGTGTGCATTGTTGCGCTCACACACACACAAATCCTTGGCAGTTGGAAACCGAAAAGAATAGCACAACGGCACTGTCTGGGCAAAAATTTTGAGTTAAAAATCTACACAAAGAATTTCAAGATCCTCCCCGGTGCTACAGCGCCTGTGCACTGTGCTGGGCTTCTTTGTACTCAGACTCGGGTTCGAAGAAGAACGGAACATTTATACTCGTGTGCCATGATGTTGATCCGTTGTGCAAACATCAAACCATCCCCCCTCCTAATGAGTCGATGACTGTTACTTGTCGAATAAATAAGGTTACTTGTTGTGAAGTACGCACACTAGGGCGCCTATGTTTGTCAGATCTGATGACTGAATGGCAAATGTTCCGAGATCTTTATCTTTTTGACATTCTACTTAGATATGATGGATCAAGTATATGTTTCTTATGTATCTGAAGTCTGAAATGTTTGGGAGCTTAATTATCTATGTTAAATGTTTAATGTTGAATTAAGAATCGGCATCAGAGTACTCGGGACCCTCCTGTAAGTGCTTAGTACCCATCTTCAGCAGCTAGAGAAGAGTTATCATTCCGATGCTACCAGCAACCGTCTGATTTTATATCCGTCCCATCCTTCCCCTCAGTGTTGATCGTCGGACAGATATAACTCCTCGCAGCGTCATTCTCCTTACTCCGTAATGACCTATCTGCGCCTCCGAACTGTTCACTCGCTCCCAAAGGGCCCTTATAATATCTAACTTGTCATACATCAATTCACCACCAAGTGGTGCAGAGTTAGCCGGTCTATCTGGCTGCTCATTTCCAAACACACCTGTATGACCTGCACAAAATATCCAATGGATGCTAACTACCCAATTATTAAATTATTGATTATAACTCTGTCGCCAACATTCATCTCATTTTGGAATTGTGGACATCTTCATTGTGTACGTCCACACGGTTTAATAGTGTACATCTCTAGCTTAACCGAGAGGCCCCTTTTTTCCGTATAACCGCTTTGGTCTGTAACTATGTCGGCTGTCTTAACTTATTTGTGTACCACAGGTATTCGCCGTCATGCTGGCATCTTACTTCAGTTATCAGTTTTAATTTTAAGATGGTAAAACCACGCTTGCAATTGTTACTCTTGAGTGATCCTGAATTGCAAACTTACACCTCCATTTTTGTTGAACTTCAGCGACAATTCTGCATGATAATAGCACGTTACAGTTCCTTGCGTTTCTTGACTGTCAATAGTGCGCTGGATATTTTGTTTAACGGTCCTTCTCGTCACATATCGATACACTTGATCATGCCAGTAAGGATTCTTTTAAGAAAACATCTTTCTTAACACTGCTAAAGTACTTTTAAATCTTGCTTCGAAATAAAAGGCCATAGATGACTCCCTTAAAGTGTGAGTATATTTTAGAATATATATATATATATATATATATATATATATATATATATATATATATATATATATATATATATGCTGTACATAAAAGTAGATTAGTCTCTGACTTATTGTCACTTAAAGTATTTCTTCTGTAGTAGTAAATGATGAGTACGTTATAATTTTATAATATAGTATACAACTAAAAACAACATTTAGTTTACGAATTTGACTTGCAAGAAGACGGATTTTTTTTTTTAAACAACTAGCACAAAATCAAACGACCCTGTGTTTACACCATGTCAGGGTGGTTGTTGATGTATGATAAACCAATGCAAGGGATGCTGTATTTGATTCGAAGGAACGTTAAATGTTAAAGCTTAAAGTCGAGAGAACTGACTTCATTGTACGGGTTTTTATCCCCTATGGCTCTGTCTCACTCATCAGAATAGCTAGCAGCATGCCAAAAACATTGCACAAAACACAAACCCCGTAGCTCAGGTGACGATCCCCAGGGATCTCCGCAGAATTACACACGTGAACCGAACGACGCAGCTGTGAAACGAACCCACGACCTTCAGAGCGCGAGGCAAACGGCTTGACCACTTCGATACGGAAACCTCCTAAGTAACATTATATTTTCCACATATTGAGAATCTATATGGATCTCTTAGCCATTTGAAGCCAAATCCCACTTAATGGACACGACACAAAGAGGAGCCAAATCAATTTAGAGACGAGGAAGAGAAGGATTATAAGAACAGAAAAAAGAAGATACTGAAAATGACCAGTAAGATTTCTACATGCATGTTAGTTATCATCAGCGGCTGTAATAGCCGCCTTCATATCTTAAGTTGTATAAGCAGAACACCGCTTGATCTTTAACATTGACTTGTTTTTTGGTCGGGACGAAATGGTTGCTTGTGCCGAAAATAAACAAATTCTCAGTGTTTATTACATTATTTTAAAAGGCAAGGAACTAACATTCTGCACACAAATGAGTCTGATCTGGCAAACGGATGTACACGCAACACTCAGGTTCTGAAAGAGGACTGCAGTCCAGAAATGGACGAACAACCAGAACTTTCCGCCGGAGTTTACAGCCAGTGAACGCGAAGAAAAAGAAGATAATTTCTGTATTTGTCTCATTCTTCTGCGTTTGGGTTGTATGAACTGCAACACACGCTACCTGTGCACTGTTTTCTGTCTTGCACACAAACGATGAATGCATACAAGTAACCACGCTTGTAATTAAACCTAAATATATGTTCGATTATTGTCTTATGTATTTATTTGGGAGAATTAATGATGTTTTAAAAATTATAACTATGTATTACCAAACGTTCGACGTTCCATGGAATATGCGCGGACAATTCACGTGCTTTTTAGTGTGTTCAAAAGAAGCGTCCAAGATTCATTCATTCAGTAGCATGTCCCTCGCGGAACCTCGCTGCCATAACAACCCTCCGGAAAACCTTCCTATCATGAGCAAGATGTCCTGCGTCTGATACACCCATCTGGAGATCATCTGCCACATCCTGCACCCATCTTCTCCTTGGCCTTCCTCTTCCTCTCTTCCCAGGCATATACCCCTCCATTATTGTTCTCTCTAGACCTCCATGACGTTTCAAGTGACCAAAATATTTCAATTTTCTTTGTTTTATTGTCTTTACTAGCCAACCCTCTTCAATATTCAGCTCTTGAAGTATGGATGCATTTGTTCTTTTCTTTACCCAAGATATTCTTAGAACCTGTCTGTAACATTTATATTCAAATGCATTTATGCGCTGTTCCGCTTGTTTAGTAAGTGTCCAGGTCTCACAGGCGTATGTTGCAATGGGAAAGATGCATGCTCTTAAAAATCTGACCTTTGTAATTCTATCTGTACAATTCCATAATTTATTCAGTTGTTTTAGTCTTTGAAGAGCAATTGATAGTCGCCGTTTAATTTCTTTCATTGTGTCACCATTGTTGGTAACCAGTGACCCAAGATATTCGAAATTTTCCACCACTTCCAATCTTTCCTCATTAACATATATTTCCTTCTCCATGGCAGTTTTGTTTGTATGCATTATCTTTGTTTTTGCTGTGTTAAGAAATAAGTTATGATTTTCACTATTTCTTTGGAGTGAGGTTAATAAGTTTTCTAAACCATTTTGTGATGTTGATAGTAATACTGTATCATCAGCATAACGAATTTCTGGTATTTCATGACCACCGATGTTTAGGGCATCATATTGTTCCTTGTTTATATCATCTCTTACATTTCTCATTATATTTTCGGCGTACAGGTTGAACAAATACGGTGACAGCACACATCCCTGACGGACTCCTTGCTTGATGCCAAACCAGTCTGATGTCTCTCCATCTATTCTGACTGCTGCTTGTTGGTCTTGATAGAGCATTTTAATGAGCTGCACTATATGTGATGGAAAGCCCATATTCCTCATGATTTCCCAAAGCTTCTGATGTTGTACACAGTCAAATGCTTTTGAATAATCCACAAAACATAAGAACAGATTTACATTAAATTCTCTACACTTCTCTATTATTAAACGCATGTTGAATATATGATCTCTTGTTCCTCTTCCCTGTCTAAATCCAGCCTGAGCTACATTAATCTCTTCTTCCATTTTC